AACATTGAATTAAATTAAGTTTCATTACTTTTTTTTTTTTTTGTGTTCACACTGATGTTAAAATGACATTTTCTGATTTGTGAAATTACTTTTTATGTAATGCTAAAACACTGCTGGTCACTTTCAGAAGTTGTAGTGATTCTTTCTTTTCCAAGAAAGAATGTGAAACAAATTGGTTACATAATTTTAATTTTTAAATATTCTAAAATAACATTTGGAATTGATTTTACACACTTGAAGCAATATCGTATCGCATATCGAATATCGCATTTTTTAACAAGGTATCGCATTTTTCTTCAATATCGCACAGCCCTAGTCCCTTTTTTAGAGTTTGTGACATAGCTGTATATGCAAATTGAATATAAACAAAAATTATTTGGCTTCCATAGCAAAAAAAGAATATGCATTCACCATATTCCTTGAATACTTCACTTTGCATATTTCCCATGCTTCTTATACTTTGCATACACCAAGTTTTGATTACCAAAAAATGATTCAAATTTCATGTCCTTTCTGTTTTGCACACATAAATATTTTTAAATGAGTTCTATTTATGTTCTTTATTACCATAGATTCAGCTGGTTTTCATTTTCCTTGTTTTATTAAATATTTAATATCAAATATTGATGCAATGTGCAATGTGTGTAATGAATAATTGTGTTTATGCTAGTCTTGCAGATAATACTGTAGGTTGTGCATGAGGGGGATGTTGAATACACACATATAGTACACCAACATAAAGTCTGATTCACTTTGAAGCTACAACCAGTCACTTAAGGCCCCATTATTCTTTAAGCAAAGAACATAATTTTAAACAAAATCAGGCCTAAACAAAGGGCCTTTACACATGCTAGGATCATCTGATTGACATGTAAACACTTGCTAAGTGAGAATTTATCAAAGATTTTACGCCATGAACCTCATACACCAACACAAACCTGGGCAGCTTGAAATTGTGTTGACATTCAATCAGAGTGCAACATGATGGTTTTGAGAAAGCGTTTTAACAAATTTGTGAACAGGATGAATCAGATGTTCTATGAACTGTGCAATTTGATGCTGAGACCATGTGTTAGAATAGATGAAAATGTTACGTGTGTGTTTTCACCTGGCAGTAGCCGATTTTGGGGTTGCGATGAGCGTAGGCAGTCAAGACGCGGCGAAGAGCCGAGATTCCTGTGTCGCTCTGGAATGCTGGGTGTTCTGGGAGTGAGCGATGCAGATCTCTCTCAATCTCATCACACGCAAGCGAGCTGCTGCCCATACACTCCTCCAACAGCCGTCCATAGTATCCGGGGTGAGAGGTCATGTCATGTACTGCACCTATAACACAAGCAAACATGTATGTACAAAACTGTGGCACATATACACCCACACACAACCAGAACAACACACACCTGAGAAGAGCATCCACAGTTCTCCTCTGAGGGTCTCTGGAACTCCTCGTACAATGAGATCCCGTGTTTTTTTGGTGCAAAACATTCCAGTTCCACGGCCATATTCAGCAAAATGGATCTGCCATGACTGCTCCTTCATTCTCTCCTTCAGCTGTCAATCACAATGTTAAAATAACCGTTTTCTATTTGAATATATTTTCAAAATGTAATTTATTCCTGTGAAGGCAGAGCTGAAGTTTCAGCAGCCATTACTCTAGTCTTCACACAATATACTTTTTTCAGGATACTTTGATGTATAGAAAAAACAGAATTTATTTGAAATGCCAATCCTATGTAACATCACAAATGCATTTACTCTCACTTCTACTCTCAATTTAATGTGTCCTTGCTGAATGAATATTTTAATCTTATTGACAACCAACCAACCTTTAAACGGTAGTGTATACCACATGTTTTGATTACATTAATAATCTTTACTAAACTAACATTGCACCAATATTGCAATAAGCTTATTTGTACCATTTTGGGGTCAAGGTTTTCTGCATCATGCGGATGAAAGACGTTCATAAGAGCTTCAGTGCTGACGGCTTGACTTTGCCCCACCATAACACCCTCCTCATCCTCAGAGAGAAAAACACACACATACAATCTAGTGTCCCCTCTGGCATTTTTACAGTTACCACAAAATCATACCATGAAATGCAGGATATTTTTAAATGATATGAAATATATTATCATGACAAGTGTTTGCATACTTAAAACACATCATTTCTAAGAGTGGATGCTGAAGTGTAGAGGAATTACCGGATTACTGATGTAGTGCTGGGGGCTTCCTGCTGTCCCACACTTTCTGCGAATGGTGGCAGCAAGTCGCTCAAAATCTCGAACCTCAGAAAAACGCAAAGCTCTCTTGCCACGAAGACACACAGTCAGGGCACGACTACCGCGATCTGGCAGCTCCACACTAAACACCTACAGGAATACATTAATGCCAAAACCACACATAAATCGGCATTAGTGAAATACAAACACAGTGATAACAAAACAGCAGAAACTTATGAACTCTCCAAAACTCTAAAAGTCTAAAGGCAGAACTGTGAGAATATGCCCATGGCCGAAAGGGGTGAAAAAAAAATACTCTGATCTTTAGTCTGGATTGATTGCTTAGGTTCTGCAGGTAAAATATATTTCAAAATGTATTTTTACCCTCTGTTAATGGAAATCACTTTGGTGTTGAAAGTATAATTCACACAAGATTATTCAACATCAACATAAAACAGTAGTTCAACTTTAACTTAAAAACAGGGGCCAGTTGCATAAACATAGGCACTATGTTAAGACTGTGTCTTAAGAAATAGTTTGACTAACTAGCAGTTACCACTCTATCATTTTGTTACTAGCAGACCAATCTATCTTTTTGCTATGGACTTTAAGAAGTCATGATCAGTCTTTAAGAAAACAAATTAGATGACTAACTACTTTAAAAAAGGCTTTTAAAACAATAAATCAAAAGTATACCTTTATTGCCTTATTATTACGAAGTGTACTAAAGTGTATTGAGAAACATAGTCATGAAAGTGTACTTTTTTTTAAAGGGGTGGTTCACCATTTTTTTTTCTCGGCTTGATTGTGTTTATGGGGTGCAGTCTAACATGTGTTAATGCTACACACTCAGCAAAATATCGTCTAATTATCGTTATCGATAAAATCCCAGAAAATATCAAGATATAATTTTTGGTCACTATCGCACACCCCTAGCCCAGACTATCCAATTCAGTGAAATATTTAGTCCATAACACATTTATATGTTGATAAACATCCACGGAATGTAGTATCATTTCATATTAGCCGACGGAGCGCTTAAATCCTCGGCGCATTCAGAAGTATAGCTTGTTTTCGCATGTAAACAAAACCGAATCATTGAAGTCAAAATGGCCGCTGCCTCTGCCCTTTTGATTGACACCTTATTTGAACCAATAGCTGCATCTATGAGGTGTTTACAGGCAGCATCCAATTTGCAACATCCAAAATAAACGTTTTTGTTTACATAATATATGTATGTGTACTGTGTGTATATTTATTATGTATATATAAAAACACACACATGCATGTATATATTTCAGAGAAATATGTTTTTATATATTACATGTATATACATGTATTACATGTATTTAATATAAATACTGTATATACATGTATATACATGTATTTAATATAAATAAAGACATGTAAATACATGTAAATATTTTCAGAATATATACTGTATGTGTGTGTATTTATATATACATAATAAATATACACAGAACACAAGCAAGCATTATGCAAACAAAAACGTTTATTTTGGATGCGATTAATCGCGATTAATCGTTTGACAGCACTAATATTAAAATAGGAAACCAATATTAGAAATTGCAATAATTTTTCACAATATTACTGTTTTTTTTTCTGTATTTTTGATATATACTGTATGTGTGTGTATTTATATATACATAATAAATATACACAGAACACAAGCATATATTATGCAAACAAAAACTTTTATTTTGGATGCGATTAATCGCGATTAATCGTTTGACAGCACTAATATTAAAATAGGAAACCAATATTAGAAATTGCAATAATTTTTCACAATATTACTGTTTTTTTTCTGTATTTTTGAACAAATAAATGCGGCCTTGATGAGCAAAAGAGACTCATAAAAAATAAAAAAAAGACATTAAAAATCTTACTGATCCCAAACTTTTGAAAGGCAGTGTAGGTGTTTTCAAATAGGGGTCCAGGGACCACCCAGGGGGCCACAAGTATAAAAATATATGTGTGGCCTTGGTTCCAAACAATTATAAAACCCCTTTGCTAATAAACGCATTGTTCAGACATCATAACCATCATAAAATAGCCAGCTTGTGGTATTATGTGTAAACAGGCGATCATGTTTCTAACCCTCATTTCCCAGCATATAGGAGTAGAAACACAGGAAGTTGGTGCTGAGGTAGATCCAGCCCTGGTTTGGCACTCGTCCTCTCCAGTAGCTGCAAGAGAAATACGTCACAAGCTTCTCTCTCTGAGGCAAACCGAACAGACGTTCAAAGCGCAGCACAGCCTCCCGGAAGCGTTCGGGATCCTCCTCGTCAGCGGCTGATGTGCCCTCCTCTGCTATCAGACCCTACACAAACACAACATACCACCACTGAAGTCAACAATGCAAGACTGGGACTTACATCTAAAATACCACAAAACACAAAAACAAGAAAAAACAACATTCTAAAGTGTTTTGGAGACAAATATCCCTCCCACCCTTATCTTTCCCTGGACAAAACTAGTGATGTCTTCGCCAGAATCAAACACAGAGAGAGTTCTGATGATGTTCTGCTGCAGCCAGTCCCAGTGCTGTGAGATCTCCTCTAAAGATGCTCCTGCACAAACACACACACACACATTATATAAGGATCTAAATGAAGAGAGTCTGAGCCTTCACATACACATTAACACTGTGTGCAGCATCGCTCTCACCACAGGCAATGCTCCAGTACACCTGAGAGTCGGGCGTCTGGTGTAAAATGCGAAACGGGGCGACTTTGGCGGTGGAGTCAAGAACTGTGTCCAAAGTTCCGACGCTGATGAGATTAACCCCTTAGGTATCGAAATTTGGTACCGAACGACGAGACGGTTTTCGATACTCGATGGTATCGAGGCAATTCGGTCGGTGCCTAAAAAGTATCGAACTCGATACCCAGCCCTAGTTATTTTATTTATTAAGTCAAGTCCCATTTATACAATACAGATTGTTTCAAAGCAGCTTTACATTAATAGCAGAGAAATAACAGTGTTAATATTGTAAAATTCCTCCAACAAATTCAATTTCAGCTGTAAAGCAGCTCTAGAAGATAATAGTGTCATTATTCATCTCAATTTAGTCCAGTGCTGTTTCAATTCAGTTCAATAACACTGTCGATGTTGCAAAACTAGTGTCATTATCCAGCTCAGTTCAGTTTATTAAAGGGGTCATATGATGCTTTTTTAAAGGTCATTATTTTGTGTATTTGGTGTAACAGAATATGTTGACATGCTTTAATGTTCAAAAAACACATTATTTTTCAAATACTGTACATTATTGTAGGTCCTCTATGCCCCGCCTCTCTCAAACGCTTCGTTTTCTACAAAGTCCCGCCTTCCGACAAGCGCAGTCTGCTCTGATTGGCCAACTGACCCAGTGCATTGTGATTGGCCAAACACCACAAGCACGCGTCGGAAATGCAACGCCCCTTACCATAATCGCGAGCGTCAGCTTTCAAAATAAATGTAAAGACAGAGCAATGTCTTTACTCTGGGGAACAGAGTCGCGTGACAGACACCTGAATGAAAGCTAAAAATAAATTAAACAATTATTAGAAGCAATTTTAGTAACTTGCAAATATTTTTTACAGTGGAATTACTGATATTATACTGAGTTAGGTAACACTTTATTTTAAGGTGTCCTTGTTATACATGTTCCATGTACCTACTATTGTAATAACAATAAATTAGGCATAATTAAATGCAAGTAACCCTAATCCTAACCCTAACAATATAGTAAGTACATGTAGTTAATTAATATTACTCAGTACTTAAATGTATAATTACACTGGAACAAGGACACCTTAAAATAAAGTGTAACCCTAGTTCTCATGCAAATGTACATCATTATAATTATATTTCTCAAAACATTTCATGTTCAAATAGTAAAAATGTATGCATCTTTAAAAGATAGAGTTTAAATTGGCTTAAAATGACATCAAACTTGCAGTTATCATGTTGCCCTTTACTGACAAGATATCCCCAAGTCGCATCACCAATCAATACGGCCTTCTTTCAGAGAGACATTGGAGAGAAAGCATCTGCCGGTAAACACCAGTAAACACCAGTAAACACGCTGATCCACCTCAAACCTAAACAATCCGACGTCACAGCGTGACGCAACAACTCCTGTCAAAGAGAAGGAGCAGCAGACCTACATGAATAGTCTCCGCATTAAACACGTTTAGGCTTCGGCTTCTAAATATATCATATCTGGAGGAATGTTGCATTTTTAAGTAGCCTACCTTTATGCACACGGCCAGTTTACCGCAGTGGTGACGTCAGCACTCAAAAGAGCACATCATCAGTCCACTGACAGTCAAACTTACAAAAACATCCAATCTGAATCTGCAAGACTGCATTAACCCTTGACCTGTTGCAAAAGCACTTGGGGTTAAAACTAAAAATCAATAGTTTGGGAAATCAACTGAAGTGTTTTTTAAGGTGTAACACCGAAAAAGAGATGACAGTTGGAAGCATCAGAGGCTTTTCCATGCCTAGCGCTTGAACACGGATATCCGCGCGCTCACGGTAACGTTACCTGTCAATCCGCCGCTGTCCTCTCCGTATCCGCGTCTGCGCTGCAGCACGAAGTAATCGTTGGATTTCTCCGTCACCCATAATTTCAGTGCGTTTTTGAGAAGCACCTCTTCGGGTTTGAGCCACATGCTGGAATCTGTTTTCAGAGACGCGCGTCCTCTCGCATGACACTCGTATCATCTCAAGCGCATACACCCATAGATTGAGTGTTGTTTGCTCTTGCGCCGCTTTTCCCACGTCGACAGAAACTGAGCCAAGACAGCAACCCCGGCGCCGCTGGGATTGTAGTCTTCCACATCTGCCCCGCTGAGCAGAGGAAAGTGCTGCCCTGAAAACTATTCACTACACTTCCCATAATCCCCGCGCCACCTCATGACTTTGTTTCAAATTATTTAAAGGGACAGCAACATATGTTTATTACGACGCGTTGTCAACGATACCGCCCACAGCGGTTTTACCTGGAGCTCGTCAGGTTTTCCTCCATGCCAAAGCCTTCAGACGTCGCTAAGGAATAGGGATGAGAATCTTAAAAAAAAAGAGTCCGGTTCTACTCATTAACGGTTCTTTAAGTACTTTTGAAGAAATAGCAAAAGTCCAATGATGTTTACATTTTAAAAGTGTTAATAGTTCAATAATAGGTTCTTAATATATATTTTTAAAACTCTAAAGAAACAAAACATTGTTACATTTTATGAAACGCCATTGATTACAATCCAGCTTGTGTATCTTCAACAAACTGTTTCATCAGTTACACAAATTTAAGTCTTTTCTTTTCTCGCTTTGCCTAGTGGAACAGTGATGTCAGCAGCCATCCTTCACTGCCAGAAAAGGAAGACCCGATACAGCTACACCAGCATCAGGTCAGATCCACTCTATTTGCAGGGTCAACGCAAGGAAAGCAGCTGGTCCAGATGGAGTCACTGGATAGATCTTGAAAGCCTGTGCAGACCAGTTGGCAGAGGTATTTACCACCTTTTTCAACCTCTAGCTATTACAGTCTGCTGTCCCCACCTGCCTCAAGTCAGCGACGATCATCCCAGTTCCAAAGAAAACCACAGTAAACTGCCTGAATGACTATCGTCCAGTTGCTCTAACCCCTATCATCACCAAATGCTTTGAGAGACTCATACTCTCTCACATCAAAACTGTCATCCCTGCCGACCTCGACCAAAACCAGTTTGCTTACCGAGCAAACAGATCGACAGAAGATGCAGTCATCAAAACTCTCCACACTGCACTTACACACGTGGATTACGGAAACACTTATGTAAGAATGCTGTTTGTGGATTTCAGTTCAGTTTTTAATACAGTCATCCCCCACAAACTCGTTCAAAATCTGAGCAATTTGGGCCTAGGCAGTTCATTGTGCACATGGATACTGGACTTCCTGCGCAACAGACCTCAGAATGTCAGGATGGGGGGCCACACATCATCAATTTGCACATAATATACCTGTACATACAACTGTCTATTGTTATATACCTGTACATACAATTGTCGATTTGTATATTTTTATTCCTTATTTACTTGTTCTATTTTTTATTTATTTTTATTTTTTATTATCTGTTTTTTTGTTTTTTTTTGTTCTGTCACTGTCATTCTGTTACACTGTGGAAGCTTCTGTCACGAAAACAAATTCTTCGTATGTGTAAACATACCTGGCAATAAAGCTCATTCTGATTCTGATTCTAATTCTGATCATCAACTCTCATCCTGAACACTGGCACACCACAGGGGTGTGTCCTCAGCCCCCTCCTCTTCTCGCACACACGACTTCTCCCCCATCCATTCCACCAACACCATTGTCAAATTTGCTGATGACACCATCATGGTGGGACTGATTACAGACAATAATGAAAGCATCTGACAAAATGGTGTTCCCTCAATAATCTGGACTTAAACATATCCAAAACCAAGGAACTTATAATTGACTTCAGAAGATCAAGGCGTACTGAGCACTCTGCAGTCTGCATACAGGGTAAGAAGGTTGAGAAGGTAGAGAGCTTTAAGTTCCTTGGTGTGCACATCTCAGCCGAACTCACCTGGTCCACACACATCTCCCATCAGGTGGGGAAGGCACAGCAAAGACTGTACTTCTTCAGGAAACTGAAACAGGCGCACCTCCCTCATCGCCTGCTGACCAATTTCTATCGGTCAGCAATAGAGAGCCTTCTGACCTACTGCATCACAGTGTGGTTCAGCAGCTGCACAGAAGAGAATAAAAAAGACCTGCAGCGGATGGTGAAGGTGTCAGAGCGCATCATTGGCACAACACTACCTCCCTTCAAAGACATTTACACTGGCCGTTTACACATCCGAAGCACACGGACAGAAAGCGGCTGTCACAGGCATGTGAGTACTAAACTAAGTTCTCATTCACACACAAGTTTACGCTAAAAACACACGAGTTACAAAAACAGCCGGTTATGTCTGTGAAGGTAAACAGCTGGGAAATAAATCACAGCCAAAGACAGAACAGTTAGCACAGTTAGCTCAAACTTTCGCCATGGCATTAGAACTGGTACACCGTTGTTGCTTGCGAAATCACAATGATGGCGCCCTGGGTGGAAACTTACAGATTAAGGGGCGGTAATATTATAATGAGATCCCTTTGCAGCGTCACCAAGGGAGCGAAATCAGACGCTCTCTTTTTTCAGATGCTTGCAGAAAAAGGCTTCCCAAAACAAAGTTACTGAGTTAATCTTTTTCACGTTTCCTTGGTTGGTAGATGCACCGGGGACCTGATTATAGCACTTAAAACCTGGAAAAGTCAGTTTCCTGATATACGTCACCTTTAAATTAGAACATCTTTTTATTTTTTTTTTATTTCAATATTTCATAAGTACTTCTATTATTTTTTGATATGGTAAATAATTTAAAAGTATAATCACACACACAGGCAACTTCATAAAAGATTTTATTTACAGTGTTAATGTCCGTAATGTCCGTATGAAAGAGTAAAGAAATATTTTCATCCCTTATTTAAATATTACAATCAAGAGAACTAATTCCTTTAGAACCACCCCTATTATGTCTAGGCCTATGCAATGAGTAATATACATTTGCACACATACATAAGTGTGTGTAAGGCACAATATTTCTGAAATTTTAAATTTCCATCAAAACTGGAACAATATAATTTATTAAGTCACAAAAACAGGGGAAAAGTATAGTATGCATTAAGTCCACTGATTTACAGCAGGTGGAGCACTCTGTCTCTATCTGTGTGTCTCCACAACTGCTCATCCTGATGCTTATGGAAGGCTGGGAGTCTCAAAACATGAACACAACCACAGTGGGAATCAAACCCTGAATCAGAAATCATAATACCCCGAATTAGCCACAGATAATTAAAACATGACCTCTGATTGACCCAGAAATCATTGTGATCACCCACAGAGACAAACAGTCACAGAGAGAGAGAGAGAGTGAGAGAGAGAGAGAGAGAGAGAGAATTTATAGGCACTTAGTCAGAAACTAATCAGAAAAGGGCTCAGCAGTGCTTTGATATAAGTCCTCAAATCAAAACCCCTCATTCATCTGTGAGTGCATTTTATCAGTGTTTGTTTGTGCTGCTCAGGTCCTAACTTCACTCTGGCTATGAACGTCACCCTCGAAGGCAAGATTGTCATAGTGATGCGACACATCCAACTGCTCCTCTTGCACACCTGCAAACCAATCAGACCAAACAAAGACCAAAATCACTCCATTCAGATCAACAGACTTTGGTTCCAGAAGTATATTTTCACATCATTACAAACCTCAT